CCTTCCAAGTAGCTGGAACTACAGGCGCGCGCTACCATGCCCGGCTAATTTTTTGATTTATTGTAGAGATGAGGTCTCGTGAAATTGCCCAGGCGGGTCTCAAACCCGCGAGCTCAGGCAATCCACTCACCTCAGCCTCCCAAAGGCACGGAATTACAGGCTGAGACAAACTTTTCAATGCATGTTTTTTGTGCTATTCTTTAAAAATTTTAACTAAAGACTAATTTAGCAATAGAATACTAACATTTAATAAACTATCATTTGGTGCCAGGTTCGGTGGCTCAGCCTGTAATCTTGCGCTTTCGGAGGCCGAGGTGAGTGAACTGTCTGAACTTATGGGTTCAAGACCCACCTGGGCAACTTGGCGAGACCTCATCTCTACAATCAATCAAAATGATTAGCCGAGCATGGTAGTGCGCACCTGTAGTTCCAGTTACTTGGAAGGCTGGGGTGGAAGGATTGCCGGAGCCCGGCAGGTTGAGGCTGCGGTGGCCGGGAGCGGCCACTGCACTCCAGTCTGGGCGACAGAGTGAGACCCCAACTCAAAAAGATATATGAAAAATAAAAATAAATAAAATAAAATAAACTATCATTTGGATTTTATCCTGTGTAAAATAATTCAACAGAGCCGGGCTCAGTGGCTCAGCCTGTAATCCCGCGCCTTTGGGAGGCTGAGGTGAGTGGATTGCCTGAGCCTGTGGGTTCGAGACCCGCCTGGGCAGCGAGACCTCATCTCTACAATAAATCAAAAAATCAGCCGGGCATGGTAGCGCATGCCTGTAATTCCGGCTACTTGGAAGGCTGAGGTGGAAGGATCTCCAGAGCCCAGCAGGTCGAGGCTGCGGTGGCCAGAAGCGGCCACTGCACTCCAGTCTGGGCGACAGAGTGAGACTCCAACTCAAAAAAAAAACATAAAAAAACCCAAATAATTCAACAATAGATAAGTGCTACCCTCACAAAAATTATTAGAAAAGAAAAAGCCCTAAATGCATAACAAAAGGGAAACGGGTATATAAAAGGGACCCCCCCCAAAAGCCGGAATTATCTTTTGGAAGCTGGGCCAGTTATAGTACAGGTTTCCTCCCCCCACTAAGTAAGTGTTCTAGGACACCCCTGGCATCAGTATACCAGCTAGCATTGTCGTGAGAAGCTGTGTTAGGCTACAGTGAAACCCCTCCGCCCCCCGCCCTAACTTGGAATCTCGCTCCTTCGCCCAGGCAGGAGTGCAGGGGCACGCTCATGGCCATGCCAGCATTGACCTGCTGGGCTCCCACAATACTTCCGCCTCAGCCTTCCAAATAGCCAGATCTACAGGCACGTGCTACCATACCCGGCTAATTTTTTTTTTTTAATTGTAGAGATGAGGTCTCACCAAGTTGCCCAGGCTGTTCTCGAACCTGTCCTCTCACCGTGGTCTCCCAAACTCCTGGGATTACAGGCTTGAACCACTGTGCCTGGCAACTCTTTTGGAGATTCTTTCAATGCATTTGCTCATTTCATAATAGACAACTCACACTATACTGAGTGTTCATCAGTATTTGAATGGTCTGATCCCCACATACCGCCCTCCCTATTCATTTGAACTTGACCTGGGCGACCTGCAGTTTCTCTGGATGAAAAAAGTCCTCAAAGGATAATGTTTTGCCAATGTGGAAGAGGTGAAACAAAAAACAGCAGAAGCACTAAAAGGCATCAAAATGGACAAGTTCGAAAACGGGTGTGAGCAGTGGAAAAAGCATCTAGATAGGTGTATTGCATCAAATGGAGAGTATTTTGAAAGTGACCAATGTTTAAACATGTAAGAATATATACAATTTTTATAAATAAATTCTGAAGTTTTTTGGGTTTTCCCTCATATATCGACTCAAAGGAATACTTTAGAGTTATTCATACTACAAATTTAAAGAGAACATCAAGGCTAGGTATAATGGCTCATGTCTATAATCCTATCACTTTGGGAGGCAGAGGTAAGGGGATTGCCTGAGTCCAGGAGTTTGAGATCAGCCTGGGCAACATAGCAAGACATCATCTCTAAATCAAAAATTTAGCCAGGCATGGAAGTGTACACCCATAGTTCCAGGTGTGGGAGAGGCTGAGGCAGAAGGACCACCTGAGCCCAGGAGTTCAAGACTGAGATGAGCCCTGACCTTATGCCACTGCACTCCAGCCTGGGCGACAGTGAGGCTCCAACTCAAAAGAGTCAAAATATGAAAATATAATTGCAAATGAAACAAACACAAAATTTTACATAAACTATGTGAGATAATAGGTGTAAGTATGAGTAAATGTGAAATGGAATAAATTGCTATAAGGTAAAATTACAAATATTTTTTCCAAATTATTGATTTTTTTAGTTAAAAAAACAAACCTTTACTCAAAAGGTTTTTTTTTTAAAGTATTTTTATACTTAAAAACATATAAGAACTACTCAAGAGGGAGAAACAGAGGAGTTTATGAAGAACGACCTGAAGACATAAAGAAAACACAAGCCGGGCTCAGTGGCTCAGTCTGTAATCCCGCGCTTTGGGAGGCTGAAGTGAGTGAATTGCCTGAGCCCGCGGGTTTGAGACCCGCCTAGGCAACTTGGCGAGACCTCATCTCTACAATAAATCAAAAAATTAGCCGGGCGTGGTAGCGTGCGCCTGTAGTTCCAGCTACTTGGAAAGCTGAGGCGGAAGGATCGCCGGAGCCCAGCGGGTTGAGGCTGTGGTGGCCGGGAGCGGCCACTGCACTCCAGTCTGGGCTACAGAGTGAGACTCCAACTCAAAAAAAAAAAAAAAGAAAACACAGTAGTGACACAGAAATCCAAAGATAAGGAATGCAGGGAAAAAGTGAAAAGATCAGCCTATATAGAAGACAATGAAATATGCATAGATACAAATGCAGTCAAGGAGTGGGGACTGTAGACAAGTTTTCATGCAATATCCACTATCATGTGCCACTTTAAAATAATGCTAGGAAGCTTAAGTTGCATTTCTCTACCATTAGTCATATTTGAACACTTAAGTCCTTTTGTATTTATAGGCTAAACAAACCTGTAAGAGGTTCTAATGAATTAGTACAATGGATTCAGAATTACACAATCATGGAATAAATACAGACAGAAATACATACATTGGCAATGCATGCCTCAATAGTCTGGACTGTCCTTTTCAACAACACTTTTGCAAGGTCGAATGACTGTTTATTTAAGTTCTGAAAAACAACAAAAATATGAAAGTTATGAATGAATTATTTAAGTATAAGATCATACCATCAGAGCACGGGAGTCTTCAAATCTATCAAAATAGTAAAATAAAAAACCCACTGAATTCCATTCAAGCTTTTTCCCATTATCCCCTAGTCAAATGATCTTAAATACAGAAGTTGTAAACTGAACGCAATTATGAATCAAAAACCAAAATGTACTAGAGAGCTAAAAGTGCACCCTTCCATTAAGTTTTACTAAACTGAAAAAGGATCTGAGGCTTTTCCCTTTTGTTTATCTGTTAACCAATGTGAACTGACAACTACACTCATGCATCCTAAGCAAACATACACTGCCTATCTGATTCACAATGCTCAGTATTGCAAAGTTTAGTCAAAGAATGTTCTGGGGAAGAATAGACCTAGTAGTGTTCCATATAAAATGTTTTTGTGACCAATTATATTTTATGCTCCTCTTCAAGAGTCCCAATGCACTGCACGAAATTAAAGGGTCTGAGGAAGGCTGTAGAAAGACACATTTGAGTTTTAAAAAGTGACTAAAAAAGGAATTCTTGTTTTGAAGAATACCTATTAGCATCTCTATATTTTGAACTTTTGGATCAAATGGAGACTTATTCACCATCAGCTGGTAACTCTGGGAAAAAGAGGCTAGGAAATCCTATTATCTAGAGGTCAGTAAACTTTTTATGTAAAGAGCCATATGGTAAATAATTTAGTAGCCGTGGCTCATACAATCATAGCTGCAACTACACAAGTCTGCTGTTGTAGTGTGAAAGCAGTCATAAACAAAATGAAATGAATGAACACAGCATGGTTGTGTTCCAATAAAACCTTACCTAAATAAAATAAGCAATGGCCCAATATCTTATCAACAAGTTATAGCTTCCTGACCCCTTATATCTATAGTTATATTCCCTTGACAAAAGATACCATTAGCTTAAAATTAAGTTAACATTTATTTCTGTTTCCTAAAAAGGTGTATTTTCTACTCATAAAATACCTCTAACTAGTATATAAAAACCAAATATTCTGGCTAGTTCTCTTAAGCTTTTCTCTTATTTTGCCTGAAATATCCTCCCGTTTGTAATACTCTAAAAAATTTTTATCAACTACAGATGCATTTCAATTAATAAAATGCAAATATTGAGAGTCAAGAGAAGAATAAGTTTGAAAATAAGTATAATTAGATGCAATGTGCATGTGAAGAGGTCACTGAAGCATTAGAAAAGACAGGAGGGCAAATGTCAACACTGGACAGGCTGAGCAGAACTCAGTGGGACCTGTGGAGAACCCAGTCCTTCAGTGTCTTAGGAGGACACTGGAGAGAAATAGAAAAGGAAAATGGCGGATGGTACAGCTCTGAATCACCCTTTCCCCTTAACATTAACCACATAGCTCCTGCTTCAAACCATTTTCTGAAAGTGCCTAAGAAAAAGTCTGATGCAGGTTCTGAAAAGAAACAAAGAACTGTGTACCATATCTATCTATACTATAAAGGAGGAAATACATTTCTTTTGCAAACAAAACTAACCAAAAAGACAACATTCCAATTTCTTATGATTCCGAGATTCAATGAGTGATGAATATGAGCCTTTATTAATTTCCAGAAAACAAGTAGCACTTAACAAAAGTTTACACAATATGCTATCAATACATCTTTTAAAAATACAGCTACAAGACTAATGCATATTAATTAATTTCATTTTGGGTTGAAGAGTGATAGTGGGTACAATTACGTGAGATTGCAAATGGCCATAAAACCACTGTTTATTCTTATGTGGAGTACTACAATCTTCAAAAGCTCCACACTTTACAGACCTTATGTGCAGGGATGAGGTTAATAAGAATGGAGTCCAACAGTTCTTGAGTAACTCCATCACCTTCCATGATGATAGAACTCATCAAGTCTAACATATGCATTTGTACCTTCTTATTGTGGCTATTGCTAAAAAAAAAGAAGAAGAAAGAAAATTCAGGCTTCCCAGTTTAAAACAACAATCCAAGCTGCAAAAGGATTTTCACCTGAGAGAACAGTGCCAGTAATGACAAAGAAATATTGGCTGCTGTATTCACTGTCTCCCTCTGGTGACTATTATGAGTTAGGAGTTACTGCTTATTTTTTTTAAAAGACCAAATTTCTAATGAAGTACATTTTCTTCCATTACATTAAAAAAGAAAAAGAAAAATGAATTCTCTATACAGCTAGGATTCCAAGAATGAACAAAATTCAGACTTAAAAAAATGTTAACTTCAAAGAAAAGAAAACTTTTTGCTTACATGCTCTACATTTTAACAGACAATAAAATTTAAAGTAATGGAACCCAAAAAACTGTAAGATAATGAGAGTAGAGAGTTCATGCAACCTTTTTTCACTCACAGAATTTAATAAAATATTCAAAACAAGATGTAAACATACTCCCCCCACCAAAAGCCTAAGCCAAAAGCAGTAATTCTTGCTGTATCTTTGCCATAAGAAGTTTTAATTCACTAATACTGAAAATCAAAAGTTTGGTCTAAGATGCTTACCAGAACTACCAACATACTACAAATACACAGACAAATCTACTCCAGATAAAAACAACTGCCAAGCAGAATCATGATGGTGGTTGTCTTAAATTATCAAGTTTTAGGTTGATTTGTGATGCAGCAAAAGCTAACTAGCATAAAAGTGAGGTTTAGGCCAGGAGTGATGGCTCATGTCTATAATCCCAGCACTTTGGGAGGCCGAAGTTGAGAGGATTGCCTGAGCCCACAGGTTCGAGACCAGCTTGGGCAACTTGGGAAGACCTCACCTCTACAATAAATAAAAAAATTAGCTGGGTGTGGTGGAGCATGCCTGTAATTCCAGCTACTTGGAAGACTGAAGCGGAGGGATCACCTAAGTCCAGCAGGTTGAGGCTGCAGTGCCTGTCCAGCCTGGGTGACAGAGTGAGACTCCAACTCAAAAAAAAAAAAAAAAGTGAGGTTTATATAGTCTGTCATTTGCTTTTAAAGGGCCCACTGCTAGTCAAATGCCACAGGCAGTTTTTTCTCAAGGGGTCTTCTATAAGCTTCTATCCCTAGACCAAGGGCAGACCTTCCAACAGATCTGATCCTTTCCTATTTGTTCCAGGTTAATGGTAATCCCTGTACCATTCCACCTAAGGAACAGTAAAACATGATACAGTATTCATAAAAATCTACAGAAAATTCTAGGAATGTGCTGTCCAATATGCAACCCATTAGCCACACATGGCTAGTAAATATGTAAAAAGTTTAACTTTTCTCTAGACAATGTCTTTGAGATACATTGCTTGCATATAATGCAATACTCTAAATCACATGTCACAGCAATGCTTGACTTACTAAACAAAAAGCAAACTAAAAAAAAATGAACTGACATTAGAATTCGAGTTTCTTCTGTTCAGCAATTTGTCCTTGGGAAAACCACCACACTTCCTCTCTCGGAATTAATTTCTATATTCTCTAATGAAAGAGTTGAAGCCAGGCACTGTGGCTCATGCCTGTAATCCCAATACTTAGCAAGGAGGACTGCTTGAGGCCAGGAGTTCAAGACCAGCCTGGGCAACACAGTAAGACATTATCTACACAAAAAATTAAATTAAAAAAATAAATAAGCCGGGCTTGATGGCTCAGCCTGTAATCCCAGCACTTTGGGAGGCCGAGGTGAGTGGATAGCCTGAGCCCGCGGGCTCGAGACCCGCCTGGGCAACTTGGTGAGACCTTATCTCTACAATCAATCAAAAATTAGTCGGGCGTGGTAGCGCGCGCCTGTAGTTCCAGCTACTTGGAAGGCTGAGGCGGAAGGATCACCGGAGCCCAGCAGGTCGAGGCTGCAGAGGCCAGGAGCGGCCACTGCACTCCAGTCTGGGCGACAGAGTGAGACTCCAAGTCAAAAATAAGTAAATAAATAAATAAATAAATGACCTTGATTAAGACAACATTTTTTACGTCCAAAATAAGAGGATATCAAAGTCAATGCACTTATGAACTGAGCTATCATGCCTCTTATCACTAATGGTACATACCATACTCAAAATTTACACCTTATAATTAGTGCTTTATTGTATAAAATCTCATGTCATTTGCTTTACAAATGCACACTAGTACCTCTATTGAATAATAAGTTTCTAGAAAAAAGGGCTATGCTTCTTTGTACCCCTCTACTATTCCATAGTCCTCAGCACAGACTGGGGCAGAAAAATCTACTAACAAATTGATACTATAATTTAAAGTGGTAGTATGAGGACAAAGGCAGATTTTAGACAACAGAATTTGTGTTTACTTTCCTCTTCAGACTAAGTCTTCTAAGGAAAACAATTGCTTATAACTATAACAGAGTATGTGACACTTAAATTCACAAAGCAAGAAAAAGAGACAAACACAAGTGCTTAAAAAAAACTTACTTGATCACTGAGAAGAGAGTTCTAAAAAGCTGAATAAAAATTTCATTGCAATCTTCCAATTCAAAGCAGATGTTATATGATTTAACCCAAGCTAAATTCTTAAATAAATAAAAATAATTATTTAATCATACACATAAAGAATAGTTAGACAAAAGCTATCTCATTAGTAAAACTGAATTTTTAGAACTATAAATCTACATTAAAGTCTATAAAGGTCAAACATATAAAATTACCAGTGTTCCAGTTAGTCATATACCTCAGAGCATTATCTTTCTCAAAGTAAGAAATACTGAATATTTTGGGGTTGACAAATACATACACATACAAAGTTTAAGGAGTAGTGAGCTTTAATCTATTTTTAAATTAAAAAAAAAACAAAGCAAAAGATAAAGCTATAGCTTCAAATAACCTACAGTTTTTACAGTGGAATATACTTTATTCATGTAATTCATGTTCCATTACAAAGCTACTACAAAGAATTTGCTGCCATACAAAATACTGTAATATTTATTAAATAAAAATTTTTTTTACCTCTAATAAATAAAAGTATCTATTAAACTGTGGACTCTTTGTATCCTCCAAACCTTTTAACTGTCTGGTAATAAACAAAAATATGTCCTGTTTAAAAAAAGAAAAGAAAAAAATTAATTTATACACAAATATCTTTCTTTTACAACCCATTAACAGTCTGTAAATATATTATCTGTTAAAGACTACACTAAAAGAAAGTTCTCCTTTAGCTGAATGCCTTGGGACTGGATTAGTCCATTTTCAAAATGACTTGAAAAGATCAAATCATACAAAATAATATTCTCTAGAAGTAGAAATAAACACTGTTACTTCCAGGACTCTACAGGTTTTCTCCTCATGAGAGGACGTAAGTTCTACTTCTTACTGCCTTTTTTCCTACTGAGGCATGTCCACTTCATTATCTTCACCTTGCATCATGACAAACAGTTACCTTCATTTTAAGAAGGTAGATATGAGTTGTTCCATTACATCTCCTAAATAATAATTTTCAGCAAAGTTTTGAAATTGACATTTTGAATTGACTACAAGGTTATGTGAAATAAAGATAACAATCCAATCCAAGCATTTTACATTTCATGACGCTAGAGCATCATTTCTTAATAAGCTTTCTTTAGAAGTTTTATGTCAAAATAGTATCAACATGTCAGAAATACTTTAAGGAAAGCAGTCCACAGGATAACACTTTGGCAAGAATAAAATTATTCAAAATATGACATCAGGAAGGGTGTAGTTGCTCACGCCTGTAACTGCAACACCCTGGGAAGCTGAGGTAGGAGAATCACTTGAGCACAAAAACTCAGGACTCACCTATCCAATATAGCAAAATCACACATTTATTTATTTTTGAGTTGGAGTCTCACTCTGTTGCCCAGACTGGAGTGCAGTGGCTGCTACCGGCCACCGCAGCCTCAACCTGCTGGGCTCTGGCGATCCTTCCGCCTCAGCCTTTCGAGTAGCTGGACTACAGACGCGTGCTACCACGCCCGGCTCACATCTTTATTTAAAAAAAAAAATTTTTTTATGAGCTAGGCACAGTGGTTCACACCTGTAATCCCAGCACTTTGAGAGGCTGAGAAAGGAGGATCACTTGAGGCTAGTCTGAGCAACATGGTGGGAACCCTTCTCTACAAAAAAAAAAAAGAAATAGAAACAAAAAAATAAAAATGAAAACTGAGGACAGACATGGTGGTACATGCCTATAATCCCAGTACTTTAAGAAGCTGAGATGGGAATATTGCTTGAGCTCAGGAGTTCAAGACCAGCCTGGGCAACATGGCAAGATCTTGTCTCTACAAGAAAAATTAAACCAGCTCTAGAGATTAAAATAAGAGTTCCTCAAACATTTGAAAAAAGGCAGAATCACCAAGATGAGAGTATAGTTTTCCATGATTAACTGCTTGTAAGGAAAAATAGTCATTCATTTGAATGTATAAATTATGGTATATCATTGTTCTAAAATATATCATCAATTTGCTATTTATTGTGATGGATTAGCCAGAAAGTTCGATATGAGCTGACAAGGATGGGACAACTTTGAAATTGTCCTTGCTATAGCAGATAGACAAGCAGACAAGGATTACTCACCTTCCTATGCCTCAAAAAAATACCAGTCATTGGTGCATATACTCAATAAATATTAAGTGAATGACTGATTTTGAAACTTATGATCATAAGACGGTAAGAATAATATAAAAGCTATGTTCATAAGGATAACTACAACAAAAAGTACACTTTCTGATCAGTGGTGAATGAAAAGAACTACAACATAAACTAAAGTGATTGTGTAAAGACTATATTTACCTTAAGTTTATCGTGAGATGTATATGGAGCTTCTGGGGCATAGATTCTAAAGATGTCAGCCAAGCAACATGCTACAAGGAGACGCACATCTTTATTTGGGTTCCTGAGGAAAAATTCAGATGCAAGATGCAAAGCTAGTGGGAGATACTGCTGTTTTTCATCTTCAGAGTCCTGATCCATATCCATAAAAGTTTTCACCACCATCTGTAAAAATGCATAAAAAACAATATAATCAACGCCTGGTATTTAAAAATCACTGAAGAACATATATGTGTGTGTGAGATAGAGAGAGAATTTTTTTTTTGTTTTTTTTGAGTAGGAGTCTCACTCTGTTGTCCAGTCTAGAATACAGTGGCAAGCTCATAGTCATCCCCCCGTCTCTAACTGCTGGACTGAGGTGATCCTTCCACCTCAGCCTTCCAAGTAGATGGAAGTATGCACCACCACACGTGGCTAATTTTTTGATTTACCGTAGAGATGAGGTCTCCTTAAGTTTTCCAAGCTGGTCTCAAACTTCTGGGATCAGGCAATCCTCTTGCCTCCACTGTCCAAAGTGCTGGGATTACAGGCATGAGCCACCACAACCGACTATATATCTTGAAAGTCATCTCCATTACAACACAATCTATTTTTAGTTACTATCAGAGCGTTCACAATCAAATTTTTGTAAATCTTCATTTAAGAATTTAGAATCCAGGCTCGGTGGCTCAGCCTGTAATCCCGCACCTTTGGGAGGCTAAGGTGAGTGGATTGCCTGAGCCCGCGGGTTCGAGATCTGCCTGGGCAGCGAGACCTCATCTCTACAATAAATCAAAAAATCAGCTGGGCATGGTGGCGCGCGCCTGTAATTCTGGCTACTTGGAAGGCTGAGGCAGAAGGATCGCCGGAGCCCAGCAGTTGAGGCTGCGGTGGCCGAGAGCGGCCACTGCGCTCCAGTCTGGGCGACAGAGTGAGACTCCAACTCAAAAAATAAAAATAAATAAGAATTTAGAGAAGCCGGGCGTGGTGACTCACGCCTATAATCCCAGCACTTTAGGAGGCAGAGGTGAGAGGACTGCCTGAGCCCACAGGTTCGAGACAGCCTGGGCAAAATGGTGAGACCTTATCTCCACAATAAATCAAAAAATTAGCCAGGCATGGTAGCACGTGCCTGCAGTTCCAGCTTCTTGGAAGGCTGAGGTGGAAGGACCACCTGAGCCCAGCAGGTTGAGGCAGCGGTGGCCACGAGCGTGCCACTGCACTCCAGCCTGGGCAACAGAGTGAGATTCCAACTCAAAAAAAAAAAGAACTTAGGGAAATTCTTAAATGATCACAAGCACGAAATAACCAGTCTCAAAGAAACCTACGGCAGTGGTTCATGCCTGTAATCCCAGCACTTTGGGAAGCCAAGGCGAAAGGACTGCCTGAGCCCAGGGTTTGGAGGCCAACCTGGGAAACTTGGTGAGACCTCGTCTCTAAAATAAGTCAAAAAATTAGCTAGGCATTGTACATGCCTGTGGTTCCAGTTACTTGGAAGGCTGAGGCTCAGGGACCACCTGAGCTCAGCAGTTGGAGGCTGTGGTAGCTGTGATCATGCCATGGCAATCCAGCCTGGGGGACAGAGTGAGACTCCAACAAAGGAAAGAAGGAAAGAAAAGAGGAGGAATGGAAGGAGGGAGAAAGGAGGAGGAAGGGAAGGAGGGAGGGAAAAGGGAGACAAAAAAAGAGAGAAACTTATAAATATCATCTTTTGGCTCACTCACAGACACGTTATCTGCATTATCACCTGATTTGTTAAGATCTTTAGATTCTTTTTATTCATTTTATATATAGCCCAAGTAAAAAGACTTCTTGGTCCAGTATCAGCAACCAAATTCATCTGACATTTGGCAACATCATTGATGATGTTTATTTTATATTTTATAATCAAAGTTGCCATGTTTAGGCTTCTTAAAACTGCTACTTCATGTCATGTTTTAACGAACTTTGCATTTCATGATTAAAAAGTCATTTTATAGCCGGGCTCGGTGGCTCAGCCTGTAATCCCACGCCTTTGGGAGGCTGAGGTGAGTGGATTGCCTGAGCCGGGGTTCAAGACCCACCTGGGCAACTTAGCAAGACCTCATCTCTATAATAAATCAAAAATCAGCCGGGCGTGGTAGCACGTGCCTGAAGTTCCAGCTACTTGGAAGGCTGAGGCGGAAGGATCGCCGGAGTCCAGCAGCAGGTTGAGGCTGCAGTGGCCGCAAGTGGCAACTACACTCCGGTCTGGGCGACAGAGTGAGACTCCAACTCAAAAAAAAAGCAATTTTATGATTTTATTCAGTCGTATTTCTAATTAAATACTTTAATTAGAAAAAATATTGTTATTTATGGTTATAAAGTTAACAAATGCACATTTTGGAAGCATCATAAAATATAAAGTGTAATGAAAAAATGAAAGAAAAATCCATAATTTCTAAACCCCAGAAGAGAGTGTGATACTGCCCTCCAGCCTGAGCGACAGTGTGAAACTCCAACTAAAAAAAAAAAATTCTTCTCCAATTATAAACCATAGCTTATTTAATCTGTAACTACTGTCAAGTATTGAAGCTATATTGCTGTACTTTTATTCTGCCAAGATATTTTTCCATGAATAAATATATTTTCATATATTTCACATATTCAGATGATCATATTTTCTTCCTAATTCTGTTAATACAGTAAATCTCACTGGTTGATTTAATAATTTTAATCCTAGTTTGCATTCACAGTCTAATTTTATTAATTTTACTCCAAGTTTGTATTTCTAAAAATAAAGCTACCTTTGTCATAATATTTTTTTTGTTGTTATATTTGATTTGCTATTATACTGTTTCAATTTTTTTGTAATTATAATACATTGCCTTATAACTTCCTAAGGCAATCTGGTCAGGTTTTAGTACTAGCGTCATATTGGCTTCAAACAAATTGAGAAGTGATGCCTTTTTTCCCTACTTATAGTATATAGAAAGTTTGATAGTAAGACCAGTTTTATTTCTTTCATAAATATTTAGGAAATTTAAATTCATCAAAGAAGGAATCAACAGAAGTTAGAAAATATTTTTAAGTGAATGACAATGAAAATATGAACTAGCAAGCTTTGTAAGATGCAGTTAAAGCTGTACCAACGGGAAATATATAAACTTAAATTATTTGTTGTTGTTGTTTTGTTTTGTTTTTTGAGATGGCATTTCACTCCATTGCCCAGGCTGGAGTGCAGAGGCATGCTCATAGTCACCCCAGCGTCGACCAGCTGGGCTCCAGCGATCCTTCCACCTCAGTCTTCCAATTAGCCAAAACTACAGGCACGTGCTACCACACTTGACTAATTTTCTATTTATTGTAGAGATGAGATCTCGTCAAGTTGCCCAGGCGGGTCTCGAACCTGCCGGCTCAGTCAATCTACTCACCTTGGCCTCCCAAAGTGCTGGAATTACAGGCTGAGCCTCCAAGCCAGGCCCTTAAGTATCTGTATTACAAAAGTAGGGATGAACTAGTAATGATTCCTATTTCAATTTCAAGAAATTAGAAAAATAGCAAATTAAACCCAAAGAAGAAAGAATAAAGCAAAGGGAAAAGAAAAAAAAATCAGGATAAGAGTAGACATCAATGAATTAGAAAACAAACGTGTAAAAAAAAAAAAAGAAACAATGCCAAAAATTGGTTGTTGCAAGACTAATAAAATTGACAGACCTCTAACAAGAAGAAATGAAAAGATAGAAAAGTAACATTTGGCCGGTCTTGGTAGCTCAGTCTGTAATCCCAGCACCTTGGGAGGTCAAGGTGAGTGGATTGCCTGACCCCGCAGGTTCGAGACCCGCCTGGGCAGCTTGTCGAGACCTCATCTCTACAACAAATTAAAAATTAGCCAGGCGTGGTAGCACGTGGCTGTAGTTCCAGCTACTTGGAAGGCTGAGGCGGAAGGATCGCCGGAGCCCAGCAGGTTGAGTCTGTGGTGGCTAGGAGTGGCCATTGCACTCCAGTCTAGGTGACAGAATGAGACTCCAACTCAAAAGAAAAAAGAAAAGTAACATTTACCAATATCAGGAATTAAAAAGGAGGCCATATCTCTACACGTCCTAATAATCATAATAATACATTAGGGGCTAGGTACAGTAGTTCACGTTTATTATCTCAATGACTTGGGATGCAATGTGAGAGGACGGGCCAGGAATTCAAGACCAGGCTGGGCAAAATTGCAAGACCCTGTCCCTACAACAAATAAAAAACATAATGTAGGCATGGAAGGATCCCTTGAGCCCAGGAGATCATGGTTACATTGAGCTATGAGTGTGTCACTGTACTCCAGCCTGGGTGACAGAGCAAGACCCTATCTCAAAATAGTAATTATTATTATATATTAGGAGAAACAGAAAGTCTGCCCAATGAGTTATAATATCTAAATAACTTGTTTCTATTCAGCGAGAGTTCATCTGAAATTTAAAACCTTTTCACAAAGAAAACTCCAAAGCCAGACAGCTTCACTGATGAATAGTCCCAATTAGACAATGCTGTATAGATACGCATAGTGCTAGCTACTCTGCTTATAATATCAAGCCCCTCTCTGCCATCCTATTATTACAGCTACATATCTTGGCTTAGAAATGCAGTCAATGGTCAGTGAGAATTCACATTTTTTATAATCAGTATTTTTTATTATGATATTGTGGGGTATAGTTAAGGGTTAGGTATACAAATATGCTTCGTTCAGGCACCCTTGTTGATAAGAGGTGTCTCCCCGTCCCCAGACAGATATTTACTATTGTTAATCCCATCTCTCCCCCCCCATAGTTTCCCACCACTGTCAGTCATTTTCTTACAGTATTACATTGGATGGATAATCCACTTTTAAAGTACAGTCATGCATCCGACAGTGATATGTTCTGAGAAACGTGTCATTGTTTGACCATAGTGTACTTACACAAACTTAGATGATACTGCCTGCCTACCACACACCTCGGTTATATGGTATTGCCTGTTGCTCTTAGGTTACACACCTGTATAGCATGTTTCTGCACTGAATACTGTAGGCAAATGGTAGTAGAATGGTAACTATTTGTGTATCTAGACATAGAAAAGGTACAGTAAAATACAGTATTATAATTTTATGGGACCACTGTTGGACATGTAGTTTATCATTAACCGAAACATCAGTATGTGGCACATAAGTGTACAAACATACCTGTGAGAGTTAATATCCTTTA